ACCCCCCCCCCCTCCCAACCAATGCATTGGGAATATGTGCTTTCTTGTCATTATTAACAATAAATAAAATAAATTTAAAAATTAAAAAAAATTGTCAATAAGAATTAAGTAATAATAAAAATTAAATACATAAAAACAGATACATCCTCTGAAAATAGATAATATTTCATGCAATTTTTGTCACATGGATTTCTCTTATTTTAATGTTTTTAAACAAACATGATGAAAAACAATGATTTAAAAAGATACCTCCAAACAGTTTATTCTGTTTTTATTTAATTATTTATTTTTTAAACTTATTTTGCCTCTTTTTTGACCTTTTTCTTACAGATATTAAAGATAAATGCATAAATGATTAAATGAAAGGAAGGAAATATTCTGTGTCCAGATGAGAACCATGGCTCAATGCAATAGCGCCAACAATCAAGGCAAATAATGCGGTGACATAATAATTGCAAACATCCAATGCATTTGACTAAACAAAGCTTGATGTATTTTATGCAATTTCATTTCTAGTGTGGAGACAGGAAAATGTTACTGTACTTCATAATGGCACACATATAATAATGCACTCTGTTTCAATTTCCATGATGAAGCATATTTTGAAAAAAATATATTTTGAAGATCTTAATCTACAGATCTTGATCTAAACTTCACTGTTCTGTGAAGTCTAAACAGAACACTGTCGTTTTATCCTATATTTTTTTGCTTTTGTTTAACAGACCCCAGGGAAGCCAGCAGAAGGCACAGCAGAGAAACATGTCAGTGTTTTAAATGCCCAGCAGTGCATGTTGTGGCTAAGCCTTTTTCATATGCCTCTTGCTATCATTTCCTAAAAAGTGAATTTTCTTTTCAACAAACATCCTTCGAAGTTCAATCGAACAAGATCAGACACATAAACTCGATGACTGTAACACCTTCAGGAACAGACATTCCTTTTAAAAGGATCTGCTATATGTGTCTTAGCACTGTTAGCTCACCCGAAAGACATCCTTCTGCTGCATCTGAGTCACTCTCTTTGATAGCTAAACCTTCAGTTCACAGATGATTTTACTGGCAGGCTTTTCAGGCTGTTTGAAATTAGGTAAACCTTTAAAGTATAGCACCAGCATGAAAGTCACATTCTTTTTCAAAGCATTTATCTAAAATGTCATCCTTTAACTCCTAAAATGTATACATTAAGCTGTTACTTCCTGTATGTAAGGTGCGTCTCAGAGTTCCAACACTGATAACAAGAAATGTTTCTTGAGAAGTAAATCAGAAAATTAATTGGAATGATTTTCGTGTAACACTGAAGATGGTAAATATTTAATTTTTCAGAATGTTTGAGAGTATGAGTAATGTATAGAACACCCTGTTTAATTTTATACTAATCCATGATGTCACATAAGTCACTAAAGGTATTATTTATTGTCCTTCAAAAACTACACACACACATATGAATTTTTGAAACAAATCACTGGTTTGGAATTAATGCTGTTGTCTCCTTTATTCCCTACTCCAAAAACCTTCTGACAGAGGTTAAAAATAAAGTTGTTACAAATCATCTGCACAAAACATCCATAAAAAGAAAGAACAAGCAATCTCCAGTTTCTCTATGCCTGACCTCAGTTGCCATTTGTCAATTATATGCAGACAGTTCTGTACTATAGTACGACCATACTTGATGTTTACTGGAAATATTTCAGCTGTCATTTGTCAAATATATTTGAATACTTTTAACTATAATAAATTAATTTAGTTTGTTGGGAGATCATTTATTTATAAAAGGAAGAGCAAAAAATATATATATAAATAAATTACCTGAGCTCCTGAGTTGTACACTTAATTATCTACATATGCATATTAGCCTCAATGTGTAATTTTGGTTTTCTTATTTAAAAAAAACTTTTTTTTCTAAACTTAATTAGCACTTGGTTCTCAAACTTCACAGGGATGCGTTCACAGTAATTTTTTTTTTTGGTCCAGAAATCTAATAAAAATAAAGACTCTTTTAGCCCTCAAACTCTTTTAGCCCTCAAATCTGTTTAAGGGATTGAATTGCACCAATTATTTTCTGTTAGTCCTTTAACACCGTCCTCAAGGCCAACAAGAAATTCTCAGTCATAATGAAGCCTCAAAAGAATGAAATTGGAGAAACTAAATGAAACAAAAATGATGAAAATGACACCGAAAAAGCAAAATCACCAGACTGAGAAGTCTTGTTTATAAAGCAAATAAGCACCTGTGAGTGAGTGTGGCACACATGCAGTACTGAGAAGACAGGAGTGAAAAATCTAAAAAAGAAGAAAAACAACAACAACAGAGAAGTACTCACTGTGAGCAGCGAGGAGGAAGAGGCCCAGGCCCAGCAGCATGAAGAAATGGAGCGCACTCATGTTACAGGTGGTCTGTGGCTGTCAGGTTAGCACAGTGAAAAGCAGGTTGTTTGCTCTTAAAACCTTTGAGCTTAAGTCCTGCTTTCGGAGAGCTAATACCCAACGGCAGTGAGGACACACAGATTACCAGCCTGTCCACTGAGGCCTGTGCTTGGGTCTTAAGATCTGAATGGATCCTCACCATCTTGACTAATCAGAATGAGGGATCGGTTACTGTGCTCCACCCATACAGTGCTGAATGCTAGCTAGGGGTCTGATACACCCTACAGATTTCATTCAACTAATGCCTCCATCAGAGACCAAACTCACATGATTTCTCTTTGTGACACAGCAGAACAGTGAACACAACCAATCAAAGTGTTGATGCAAAGGCTATTTGAATATGTGCATGCGGTAAGAGAAACTAAAACCAAACCTTTACTCCAAATGAATGATTAGATCAGCTTAATAGATCAGCATAATTATGTAACTTCTGTTTTTCTTCGTTATTCTTCCCACATTAACTACTTCCTATTTTTTTTGTTATTAAATTCCTACTGTATATGTAATTTATTTTTCACTTTAAGGGGTAAAATAAAATGAAAGCAATTTTATTATATATAATACAATTATATTTTTTCCTTATTTTAAGGACACTTCTTTTTTTTTTCTTAAATTCTACTTCTACCATCTCATTTTTTTTCTTCACTCACTCAGGCGGTTTGGTTCGGTGCCAGCATGAAATTGGCACTAATATAGTCTGTCTGGCGTGATTTTAAGACCCATCTGCCAGCTAACTAATGCATCTTTTTATGCACATACGTAGGATCATGTCAGCAAGATTCATTGTTTGTTCATTAACAACATTATTGCTTTCTTCAAATGCCCTAGTGGGAGGCTAAAAGCATCTGCTAAATGAATAAATGTAAATGTGATTGTTATTCAGCCTTTACATTTTGCATATTGACTGTGTCTGTGTGATATGGGTCAGATAAACAGAAGCTGTATTGCCATCTTTTATTGCACTTTGTAAGCATGTCCTGTAGAGATGACAGAGCTTCTTTTGTCTAAAACATCAGCTATAACAGGACGGAGACAAAACCATTCAGATTAAATTAGCTCAGAACCACTGACAGTGACAAGTGGGTTCATTTATATATCAAAATAAAATCCAAAAATAAAATCACATCAGTGTTGCTAGAAGACAACGAAACAAATGAACAACAAGTATCTACAAAGATACACAAGGAAGATGATCAAACTAACAGTATCAAAATCTGCAGTTATGTTCCTTTACTATTTTCAAGTCATTTTCATATTTACAAAACCGTCAAGGCCTACAACATGCATTTTTTTCATGATCATGAATACCACTTTGACACAACTGAATGATTAATTCATCTGTTTTATATTATATATATATTCTCTCTGGTCATTTCTGTTTTCAAGTTAAGAAGAGGGTACCACAGCAATCAGTTTAACAGTCGGCTCCATCAGTGGTTGTCATGGCAACATCACTCATAACTTCAGACTCACTATAAACACATACTCTCTGCGTGTTAGTGTGTGTGTGTGTGAGAGAGAGAGAGAGAGAGAGAGAGAGCTATACAGACACTCAAAAAAGTCTCTACTGATGGGGAGTACTTTCACAAGACCCTCAACATAGGTAAGGTGGTGTACATTAACACATTGAAAATAATTACAGCCAGAAGCTAGCGTGTCCTCACAGTCCTAGGGACTCCAGTTTATGTGAAGACTTCAGTAGTGTGAATTCTTTTTGTTTGGTTAGTTCATTGTTCTGTCCATTAGAAAGAGGAAAAAACAATAATGAACACTTTAATCTTGCCCCTCCATCTTGTCCGGTTATTGTTCTAGTGTCCCTTTGTGGTATGGACAGAACTCTGTCGAATGGACGGCTAGCTCTTTCCCATCTTGGCAATCAGTTCATCACAAATTTTGGTCAGTTCCTCAATCTCTTTGTTCTGTAAACAGAATCCAAAAAATAATGTTAACCTTTTAATGTTTTTTTTAAAGATCTCTCTTACAGTATGATCAAAAATACATTAAAATTGTGAAATACTATCTTTTTAAAAAATCAGATTTTTATACTAATCTATTTTATTTTTCAGCAGGCATTACTCCGCTAATATTTTCAGTGTTGTACTTTTAAAGTGACTTACCTTGCGGAAGCCTTCCAAAACATCTTTCATCTTTTCATAGCGACGGAACATGTCAGCGAGAGATTTCTCCACGGAGTTGAGATCAGCCAAAGCCTGGTCTTTCTCCAGGATCAACTGCTGGATAGTGTGATGAGACAGAGTCTTCTCCCTCTGTTCACCCTCTGAGACATATACACAAAAACATAAATGCATTAAGTTCATTTTACACTAGAAATACAATACACGACACACAATACAATCAAATAGATGTGCAAGTTTGCTTTTGGATGCGGAAGAGGTTGATGTTAGGCTCCTCTGGGTACTGTACTGGGTACAGATATGAAATTATACTCTACACCAGGTCTACATCGTTGATAATGACAAATGAAAATGCAGTTTGATGCTGCATCTCTGTGATGCATGCAGACAACACACACCCACACACTCAAAGATGGACAAACCACGGAGACATGGAGAGAGATGAGAAGACCTTTGAAAGACTTACTCAGCACTTCTTAATTCGTTTTTAGGGAAACGTATTAAAAAAGATCTACAGTTACAAATTTCATTAAATTGTAGCAAGTCTGCTAAATGAATCATTTTAATGAACTGGTTTAAAAAAACTGATTCACTGATTCAACTGAATCATCACTCAGTTGTGTGAAACTCCCTTCCCAACCTTTAAAAAAATACTATCAATCTATCATGCTTTCTAATCCATTATATAGGTTTTATTCTAGTTCTATTACTTTAGCTTAAATGTACAGTACCGGTTAAAAGTTTGGAGTATGATTTTTTTTTTTAAAGAATCTAATACTTTTATTCAGCAAGGATCTATTAAATTGACAAAATATTTATATTTCAAATAAATTCTGTCCTTTTGAAACAATCTTGGAAAAAAATGTCTCATGGTTACTAAGCTTTTTTAAAAGTGATAAAAAGAAATGTTACTGTTGTAGTTACTTTTTTCAAGCTTGGTTGCGCTTAATTGTATTTAGGTAACTTCACATTATGATGAACTTGTTTGGAAAGCTACAGTATCAAAGTAGTTTCCTAAACACTGATGAGCTGATGTTTGAGAAAAGGTCTTCAAAAAGACCAGCAGAGCAAAACCAGATGATACTACAATGAGAGATACCGTATCAGGTTATAGTAAGAGAAAACTCTCCCTGTCTGTAACTATCAGATGTGGTGGATGCAACACAAATAAAGAAAATAAAGAGTTGCTGTTACTTACCAGGCATGCCTGAGTGATTTATCAAATATTTATGGGGGACGGAGGGAGCAAAACAGAAAAAAGGGACCGCATTAAGTCAAGCCAGCAGGGTGGGACATGTGAGAGAGAAAAGCGTGTCAGAAACATAGACGAATTTTGAAATTAATGAAGTGTCCTAGAATAAAATTAAGTAGGTGGTGAGAGCCAGAAAAGTGTCCAAGAAAATGAACCATGGAAAAAGGAATGATAAGCAAAGATACAAAATAAAGTGAAAATAAAATGACCAATACAGCTGGGAAGCAGAATATCAAGGATGGCATTTTATCATGAAGAATATAAAAAGGAATGAAAAAAGGTTGTTTCTTTGCACAAAGAGAGAAAATGTCATGGTTATATCAGACACTCAATATCGCAATCTGAAAATGTAAGAAAGCACACAGCCTAGAGTGTTTACATGGACGTAAATACTGGACAGGCAAAGAAATTAGATTAATCTGTCAGTGGGTGAAGCCTGGTAAGGGACATGTTTTGAGCAGAAACATGTTTGTGTTTTCTGAAGTCAAGTGGATTATACAGGCCAGGGAGACATGAAGGCTTGTGCTTGTAACTGACCGGTGTTTGGGTCCAGAGGCACGAAAGATTTGTCTGCAAGTTAAATGAGAAAGTAACAAAACCTTATTGCATATGTGTGTTGGTGTGGCGTGACTGGGTAAGGGCTGTGCCTGTTCATTTATAGCAGTGTAGCAGAAGAAAAGCCCAGATAAATAGAACCAAAAGTGCCTGACAGTGTTCACAAAACACAAATTAAAAATCCCCAGGAGAAGATGAAATCATATTTAGTAATCAAGACTCACCAATCATCTCTGCAATAGTCTTCTCATACTCCATAACTATCTTCCTGCAAAGAATAAGCAAAAATCAAGTTAATATTCAAATAAGGTGCATATACACTACACGTTCTGATCAAAACAGATCTTTTTAAGCATACTGTTTTCCATTTAGCTTTAAATAAATAAAACAGGCTGTGTGACTTTGAGGAATATGTAATTTAACATGCAGATGCAAGGAACTTTTCAAAAACAAGTTTATTTATTCATATACTGTATATCTGCAGTGTATTGATTTGAAGTTTATAGAGAAGACATGAAGTCATGGGAGAAATGGGGTCGGCAAAAGACGCAAGCTTCACTCGTCATAGCTCACAAGGGCACAGGAATCTCTGTCCTTTGAGAACACCCACCTCATCTCCTCCACCTCCCGTCTACTCTCTTCGTATTTTCTCTTCCAATCAATGGCTTCTTTCTCTTTCACAACAATCTGAAATAAGAGCATTACTTCACACACTTTACAACCTTGAAATTGATAAACCAGTGTCCTTCTGGGTTAACGCAAACCTGGGTTGTCCTTTGCCATGGTTCACACTGTAAAAATCCTTAGTTAATATAATTATTTGCATATTTATGAGGTTAATAAACAATGATCTGAGAAGTTCGGCAGATGATGAGCATGAAAATTTTCAAATAATCAGCGGAAATGCAACCACATAAATCGGCTGTGATGGTCTGAAATGGAAGTAGTGACAGATCTTTTCTTGTGACGTACATATGAATAAAACAGATTATCCAAAAAAACAACATAGGGCATAGACTTGGTTCTATCCAACGGTTGTTGATTGTATTTTGAGATGTGGGCATTGCACTCAATAATGAGTGTGAGCTTGCAGTCAATCGTAAGAAAGCAAGGGGTTTAAGCAGACCAAATCATTGGAGAAGTCTCTTGTTTCACTAGAAAACTGAATTATGAGAAATTGAGAAATTTCATTTCATGTTGACTTTAAATCTTCTGAAATACAGAAGAAAAATAATTTCTCATCACTCCAGTTAATCAACCCTCAGATGCTGAAACTAAACACAGCATGGGAAAGTTTCTATGACTGTCCAGAGCTTGTGAAAGTTTTTAACTTAGCTTTAACCACTTTATTTAGATTTATTGTATAAAATTTACAGATTTAACTCAAGGTAAACTTTCATAAAATGTAAAATGACGAGACTAAGATACAGTCTTTTTATTGTGGTGTGGAATCATGCAATGGATGAGTATGTACCTCTTCTCGGGCGATGGCAAGAGAGTGGTCCATGTCACGTGGCAGATGAGGGCTTTCCCCCTCAATATATCCTGATTGTAAATAGAAGGAGCTCTTCGAAACCCCGCTGTCTCCCGGTGAGGCCATTTCTCTCTGCTGCAGAGAAGAGAGTTGTGGAGAAACCATTAAAAAGCTGTGAGTTTATTTCTGTAAAACAATATTTACATCACATGTCTTGGTGGGAGGCAGCACATCATCTACAGGTTCTACTCAGCAAAGCCATAATGCCATGGAGAGCAGGCTCTTAGTTTGGGTTCAAAAGCCTCCAGCAGTTTGCGACTGGCCCGCTGCATACAGCTGGAATGCTATGATTGACAATCTTCAATGTGAGATGGATGTGAAAGCTGTTTGTCATGAAAGGTTTGCAGCTGTGACCGGATCAGAGAGAGAATGCTGTGTCAGATGAGGACTGCAGGAGTACAGGTTGATCCTTATGTTAGTTTTCAGAGATCAGATAACGTGCAAAGTTGGTGATCTTATATTTTCATTGGGATGATCCATTTTGCATGGGGAAAAAAAGACAATATCCTAAAATATCCTTAAAAAAAACTATCTGGGTAGTTAATGCAACCAGTTACAACAAAGACAAAAGACTGTAAAAGATGATTATAAGCACCATATTTGCATATGTCCTACAGGAAAAGACAGACATGTTTTGTGAATATCTGCTTCAAAGGCACAAACAAAAGCACAAATGTACTGTCATTAAATGTACTGTAATTTAATAACTTACTTCTGAATCTTAAAACTGATTTTTTTTAAATAAATATTACACATTTATATGTTAAAAAATATTTATTTAAAACATTTTTTTAAATAAATATAAAAAAAAATAATAAATATATATATCAAAAATATTTATTTAAAAAAAAAACAGTTTTAAGATTCAGAAGCAAGTTCTTAAATTACAGTACATTTCCAGGGTGTGTATTGTTTCCAGAAGGCCTCTTTATAGCCAGTGATGGGGTGTAGTTACTGAATAATCGTCATGTTTAGACCTTAAACCCACTTGCTGATTAGAGCTGATTAATTCTTCCTAACAGGGCTGGATTAGGAGATTAATTGAGTTTGACTCTTATACAAGGTAGGGGGTCATGTGTTAGGGTACAAATACAGAATGCCCACCACATGTTTGGTCTGCAAGGAGAATTTATGCCTAATACCAGTTACTGCATTATTGGGCTGCTCTCAGATCATGGAGGGGGCATATAGTCATACGTGAGGTACAAACTTAAATTAAAACCTGATTCAAAATGTTGAAATGACGCTTTATCAAATTTAGAGTTTAGTGTTGATCTCAGATCTCCTATGACTACATACAGTACATTAGACATGGCCTAGATCTGAGTCTTATAATCGCAATAGTCTCAGACCAGATCTCAGCCTATTTCCAACCAAATTAAAGTCACATTTCATTTTTGTGAGTTTGCTATTTTTCTTTGCAGTATAATGAGAATTAATAAATTGTACAGGTCTTGGTCTTCGACTCGACAGGCCTAGTTTTATTCTTGACTCCAACTTTTGCATTTCTCAACAATCATTGCATAATCTAATCTAAAAACTCCCCAAATGCGTGATCCAACTCAAAAAGAGCACCATGTTCATCATTACCAATCATAAACACAGTCAGCAGAGGGTGAGAAATGAGGCTGAGGAATAACTCTGAATGCAAATGAGAAACAAAATCTTTAAAAATGAATATTGACAAGACAGAGTTCAGTGATGTATTCCTGTTATCTTTCAGAGCAGCTGTGCATGTAATTCCATGAATGATAAATTACTGCTAATGAAAAGGTAAAATAAAGAACATGTCATGGAGAATGTGGCTGAAGCAGCATGTGAAATGTGTCTGTGTCTGAGTCTTATAATCGCAATAGTCTCAGACCAGATCTCAGCCTATTTCCAACCAAATTAAAGTCACATTTCATTTTTGTGAGTTTGCTATTTTTCTTTGCAGTATAATGAGAATTAATAAATTGTACAGGTCTTGGTCTTCGACTCGACAGGCCTAGTTTTATTCTTGACTCCAACTTTTGCATTTCTCAACAATCATTGCATAATCTAATCTAAAAACTCCCCAAATGCGTGATCCAACTCAAAAAGAGCACCATGTTCATCATTACCAATCATAAACACAGTCAGCAGAGGGTGAGAAATGAGGCTGAGGAATAACTCTGAATGCAAATGAGAAACAAAATCTTTAAAAATGAATATTGACAAGACATAGTTCAGTGATGTATTCCTGTTATCTTTCAGAGCAGCTGTGCATGTAATTCCATGAATGATAAATTACTGCTAATGAAAAGGTAAAATAAAGAACATGTCATGGAGAATTTCTGAAGCAGCATGTGAAATGTGTCTGTGAGACTATTTCAGGAAGAGCGTTATCTAATAATGTATGTTAAAATATTGAATATTTTAAGAAGACCATCAATTCAGGTTAGTCATCACTGAACCTCATTACTCCATTACTCATTACTTTTTATATATGAAAGCACTCCATAATCCTAAAATGTATCAGTACTATTCCAGAAATACTTTTGATACATTAAAGATCAACTCTATTTTGGAAATGAAGTCTAGAGATTATTCAGGGGCAGAAAAAATACCTGTGGAATACGGGACGTCCTGTGACAGAGTTTGCTATCTGTCTGTGTGACAGAGTGAGACAAAACATAACTATTATTTTTTTTTAAAACACAAAAAAAGGAAATAGATATATAGATGGTCAAATTAAATGTTAGAAAAATGGGTTAGAATTGATGTGTGTTAATTCTTTTTTTCTTTCCTTTTTTTTCAGTGAACAGAAAGGATAAGAGAAGGATGAGATGTTTCTTGTCTGTAGACCTAGTTTTCTGACTAATGGTGGTTTAGTCTAATAAAGGTGGTACAGGGACAGTGGGATTAGAATATATAGACTAGACCTAGTTAGACTTCAAAGGGGATATTTGCTGTCCTTCTTACTTTAGCCATGCGAGAACCGTTGAGATTCCAGTGACGTGGGCTGGGCTTCTTGAGGCGAGACTGTGAAGCGTGCAAGATAACATCATGAGAATGGAGTGGCAAGAATATGAGGCATGTTAGAGGGGTTGTAGTATGTGTGCACGTTCGTGTATACGAGATTAGTTTATTCCATTTCCTGAACAAATGCTGAGACAGATGTGACGGTCACTCATCCAACATGACTGAAAGCAGATCTGAGCTAAGCTTCATGTGAAGCCACGCCAGTGGCCTCGAACCAGGCATACAGATGGTCTGTATGCCCACTGCCTTCCAATGAGTTAGTGTAAATTAGTAACAAATCGAAACCAGTAACTAGCATGAATGTGAAGAGGAATTCATCTATAAACATTCTGCTTAGGAAAAGCATATAAATTATGAAATCTGCAAACCATTCATATTTGATGTAATAATATAGAATCTATATACAGCGTAAGTTTCCAAGTCACATTGACCTTTGTTTCTATGGATCTCCAGTCCAAGCGAACATGCAGGATTGTCACAAAGCCCTGGGAGAAACATACCTCTTTTGCTCAAGAGGGTGTTGGATTGGGAAAAAGGAGTACCAATCGGGAGACGGGTTAAAGTACCAGGGGTGAGATGTCACGTCCACAGTATGGTGAGGTAGTTTATGGGTAGGTATTCACACTCATACCCAAGGGTGCAGTCAGGGGGCTCGGTTCAAAAGGGGGTATCACACACACACACACACTTGTGCTTGCATATGCACACACACTCACACACACGGGTGTGGGTTGGCTCAGCGCAGTACCTGAGGGGACACAGTGGACAAAGTGGGGCTCTGAGAGATGGTTTTGGCTACCTGTAGAGCCTCTATCCTCAGGGCTGCGAGCACCAGCTCCTCCTGGCCCACAAGGGAGGGTTGAGGGGAGGAAAGGGGGAGTGACCCATGAAGTAGGGATGGGGTAAGGAGGAAAAGAGGGGTTAGTGTTGTACTGGCCTCACACAAATACTAAACCTGAGGGGGAAAAACTTACATATACTGTCCACACACACAGACACTCATACACAATTTACTGTGAATGTTGTGTATGTGGTGAGATCCATCGACCCTTTCTAGGAGTTTTATTACTAGCATGTATTTTTTTAAAGGGATAAATAAGCCAAACTGAAAATTCGGTCTTTCAGTGGAACACAAGTGGAGATATTTATCAGAATATCTGAAGATATACCTTGTGATAACAGTGAATAGGGACCAGGGGCTGTCGAGCTCTAAAAAAAAAAAAGCACCATAACAGCAATATAAAAGTTGTCCATGCTAATTATCAAACTTCAGAAGACTTGAAACAATACAGTTAAATTATTTGCAGACATTAAGATTTTTTTAAATGTTTTTGAAAGAAGTCTCTTGTGCTCCCTCCTAAAAACAGCTACTGTATATTGTGAAATATTATTACAATTTAAGTAACTTTTTTTTGTATTGTAATATATTAATTTTTTTACTTCATTTATTCCTCTGATGGCAAGCTATTACTTCAGTTTTCAGTGTCACATGATCCTTCAAAAAACATTTTTTATGATGATAAATTTTGCTGCATAGTATTTTTGTGGAAACCATGATTTTTTTTTAGGATTCTTTAATGAATGGAAAGTTCAAAAGAACAGCATTTATTAAAAATAAAATTTGCAACAATGTAAAAGTCAATCACTTTTGATCAATATAATGCATCATTGCTGAATAAAAGTATTAATTTCTTCTTTTTTTTTTTAAATCATTCCCCCAAACTTTTGAATAGTAGTGTACTTTTATAGTGCTTTTTACTCATTTCGGAGCTTGAGGATGAATAAATATGAAAGAATTTTCATTTTTGGTTGAACTATTCCTTTAACATCTCCTGACCCCAGCACTAGGGGACAAACAAAAAATGAGAGACAACACAAAGCAGACAAGGTACATGACAAACAAGCACACAGTGAAGCACAGCTGAATGAAGACACGCACTCTCACACACACACAAAGGTCCAGGGAAGAAGATATAGTTGGCTGGTAGGCTTCTCTCTACACACCTGCAGTTTTTGAGCGAAGACAGTGGGGTTGGTCTCTGCCAGATCAGGCTCCAAGTAGCTGAGAGGGGCAGGTGAATCAGACAGCCTGTCTAAGAGGGGCAGATCTGAGGGATCCATGGGGCCCTGGATGGGGGACTGCATTGGGACCGAGAGCAGAAGAGGGACAAGAGGAGTAGGAGGTGTCTTGGTGTCAGTGAGGCAGGGCAAGCTCGTATTTAGCCTAGTGCATCCTAACACTTCTATGATGGATTTACAAAGCTTATGAATAAACAGTCTGCGGTACTGATTCAGGTGGGGAGACCCTGAGTAAGCTGCATGCCTAGCAAAATAATTGTCTTAAAGGGAGAGTTCACTCAAAAAAAAATTCTGTCATTATTTACTATTGTTATGATTGGAAAACAGACAGTTATATAAAAAAGAGGAGTGTACATTGGTCAAAATGATTCCTTCTGTGTTAAACTGAAAAATTACAGCATACGTTTTTGAAATACCATGGGGGTGAGTAAATAATGACAGAATTTATGTATTTATTTAGGATGCACTGTCCCTTTAAGACTGAAAACAAAAATGTGTAGCATTGTAAATGCATCAGATAAGCTGTGCAATCATTAGTATTAACAAAATAAAAATAACCCTATCTTCACACATTTGTGGTGGTTTTCTTGCATTTTGACTATGAGCTCTACGTTATCTGAGCTAATGAAATAAACACACTCTTAAAGGTGCTGATTCTATCTTTCAGTGTTTGACTGGTTTACACTTACCGCTCCATCTCTCTCGTTGCTCTGCGTTCGATTCTGAGATTGACGGTCCCTCTTTCTGCTTTTCTCTGAGGCCATGGAGTCACGAGCACCATGTGGTGGCAGCACAAGTGATTTCCCCTGCGAGATCTGAGCCTCCATCTCCTCAAAGCTCCTGTGAAGCATCAGAACAACATAATTAAACACATGGAATACACTGCCAAAGTACAGTAAAAACATATTAAAGACCCCATGGGAATAGAGTTGATACTTTAAAAGTATCAGTAACTTCAAGAAACATTTTTTAATAAGTAACAGAAGTGTACCGTCCCAGTGACAGTTTTGTACCTTTTTTCTGAGAGAATTGTGTACTCCAAAATCCACCTTAACAAATATATTCCTTTAAAATAATCTTCATGGTTTTGCTGTTTGTTTACTTTTGTCAACATAATGGTGCATTTATGTCGTCTAGCAGCAGGTGCTAACTGACAGACAGACTTCATGTTTGAATAGAAAATATTTTAAGTCATTTCACTGTTTTTTAAGCAATATATGATACAAATAATAATATATGATGTTAGTTTGTGTGTGTGTGTTTGGTTTACCCAGTGAAGGGAGAATTGGGCTCTGAATCTTGCATGTTGGAAGTCTTCGTTGGACTGTCTGTCACAGAGTCCAGCTTCAGATAAAGTGATGGTTTCTTCACAGAGAGAGGCTGTAAAAAACATTCATGTATTCACATAAATACAAAGCTGTAATTTAACATTAGTCACACACACTTGCTTTTGCTTTTTTAGAAAATGTCGCTAAGTTTAGTGTGTCTATGATTCAGGTAGATACTCACAGGTGCGGAGGAACCAATCTCTTCCATGTATTCAATCTCATAGTCTGTAACTGCAGAAAAGACATCAGAGAAAATGAGAGAAGATATGACAGGTCAAATGTTTTATAAAGGTTATGTTAGGACTTAATAATAATATAAGGTTTTCAAAGAATATTCTTTCTATGCTGATCATCAGTTCAGACTGACAGAACCAATATGAGAGTGGCACTATAAATCATCTGCCTCTGTACAACTGACCCAGTTAGTCTCAGGCAGAAACTGCCCTAGGGCGCAAATGGTTCCCTGTAGGTCAAAGGCTAATAAAACGGGTCAGCTTTGGGTCATTTGGGGTTATAGGCAAACTTGTATCACAAGGGGTTATCTGATGGGAGAATCTCACAAAAACATTTTACCCCAAAATCAACAGAAAATAAACGTTTTTAAATTTTTAGAACCATTACTCTTATTTTGCATTTTGACATAGTCCTCTTCTTACTCTTCCAAGCGATCTATGTAAAGTAATGCAGGACTGTGGACAGAAAATTCATGACTAATGTTTAGAGATAATGTAGTAACATAATAAGAGACTCCTCCACTCTCTCACCATCACTCTGTGTGGGTAAACTGTTCTCGTTGACAAAAGTTGTAAAGTCAGTCGGCTGCGGGAAGTCTTGGGGGTCAGAGTTCAGCTCCAATTCTATGTCATGTCTAGTCCATTTCTGATTGGTGGAGGAAGCCAGTTTCTCCTCATCTGTGGCGTGATCTTGTGAAGGCTCAGGATTGGCATCAGGTGAGTGCTCCTGCAGGTGATTATGTGTGTGTGAAGTGGAGGGCGAGAGTGGAGAACACACAGGACAACACTGTTATGATATGAGGTGACAGCGAAGGGGAGAAACAGACCATCTTCAGAATGAACATCTGCAGTGACTGTGTGAGTGTACTGTAGGTGAATGTACGCTCATGTCTTAACTTACTTGAGCAGACGGCTCAGTAATCTGAGTCCTCTTTGGTGATTTCTTCACTCTAAAAGTGTTACTGTTTAAGAAAACAAGACAGAAATTTGTGCTATCAATCTAGAACAAAAGACAACATCAAAACAATTTTTTTTCAATCAGCATATAAATCTTTTTTAAAAACCCAACTGTGTGCACACCAACCACCACATGTATTATACACAGCAGTTTTCTGACAGATAATATACAGATAATGTTCTACTGAATAAAAGTTTTAGTTAAATAATACATACCTGTTGTGTTGTTCTGATAAAGGTTTAAAAACCTTTGACAATACAAATATATTGTAATTCTTACAGTAAATGATGGTGCTTATTATTAAGGATTAAATCTCATGAGTTTTTACTAGCACAAAATATAATGGATTATTCAAGGTTTAAATCATGATTGATTCTTCTATTACTGGGTTTATATCAATGTTATGTTTTTCAGTTAGTTATGTTCTTGTGTAAATGTGTTTTTTATAGAAAACATAATTTTTTTTATAATGCAGTCTTTACGAATGGAATCATGGCAGGAAATTAAGTCCAACAGCTACTGGAGATTAATTGGAAATATGTCTTGCAAAAATTCAGCGATTATGCAGTAAAGATTTGTGGTTTAGAATTAGAAAATAAAAACAAAAAATACCCTTAATGCTCCACAGTCTCTGCCCTGACCCACTTAGTATTAATCCCTGTAGCCCCTGTTAAATTGCTCACTGACCCCAGAAAGTGACAGATGCCTCACATAATACGAGCATTTCAAATCTTATTCTGTTGTTGTTTTTGGCACATTTCATAATGTAAGTGTGATGTAAATATTTCAGGAGTATTGCTTCACTCCTCATGTCAAATCTGAAAAGACATCTGTGTTGAAAAAAAAATAAGGTGGAAACCCTGAATCGTGTGAGAACTGTGGAGGAAAGTCTGCAGCTGGGCAAAATATGTTAGATGGATTAATCTGAAACAAATGATCCAATAAACTCCCAGTTTGAAAGTAATATTACTTAAAACTGCTCCCAAACAGCTGTATTAATGAATTGGGGTGTGCAGGGGTCTTAGACAAGGAAAATAATGTCTTGCTCAAAGGCACAATAAAGATTCCCTTGTCAACATTCCAGGTCTGCTTTCCTGTAATAAAACCTGCAACGTTTATTATCCACTAGGCCACCCTAAGGAGGCAGGATCTCTGAAATGAGTCTCATAAAAATGTTTGGATTAGGAATTCATTCAGAGATTTTAGAGATGAAATGTCGATCTTCACGTCCGTTTCATTGAAAAAAGCGTAGTCAATAAAGCTCAACTTGGGTCACATGGATATTGTAACCCGATCATATAATGTTTTCTAGCCTAAAGTTTGTACCCCCTGTACACATTTGTTCCTGGAATCAACTGTACTTGTTTGAGGGTCCACTAGATGGCAACACATGCTCATTACAGAATATCAAACATGGAGCCGAGGAAGATGGAGGTGACATGAATCAGTCATAATATGTATTAAATTGAATGATAAATCAATTGACATGAGCTCATGAGTTAAAACATGTTAAAGTGACATTTTGTAATAAGCTATATGATTACTTATGCTGATTTTTCCACCATCTCCCTACTTACAAGAAACAACACAGAGAAGAGACATTGCTGGACTTCCTGTGATACGCGAGATCAACAGACATGTGACAGAGGCTGACAAACAAGTACTAACACCCACTCACATACACTCATGTATCTGACGATTTAGAAATATACACAGGAAAATGTACAAGAATTACACATAGTACACTACAAAGGATGACTGACATGATGATGTACTGTGAAATGAAAATAGCGTAAGTGCAGACTTACGATTTGAGAGGCTTCTTCTTGTTTTTGGCAGGTTTGTTCTGGTTGTGATCCTCCAACTCAACAATGTTATCATTGTCATTCTCGTTGTCATTGTTGGACTTGGACTTGTCAAAAGAGGTAGCTTTCAGAGGCGCGTTTCCCATCTTGTTGGATGATTTGAAGGGATCGATTGAGTCATCAGAGGAATCAGGATCAAAGCTGTAAGATCCTCTAGACAGGCCAGGAGAGTTGGGGATACCAGTTCTTGAAGAAAATGGATTAATGTTAGGGTCATCCCACTTGCTGGGATCAAAGTTATATGACCCCTTAGGGATCGGGATTTCATCAATGTCATTTGTAAGTGCAGGGACAGGTGCATTGTCTAGCTGCTCTGTCTGGGGTGGAGGGGCCTTCTTAAATCCCAGTTTGGGCTTTCGGATGGGCATTTTGGCCCCTGGTTTCTTGCCTAGGATTTTAGGAGGAGGAGTATTGCGTGGCGCCTCTCCACTGTCCTCTGAATAGTCAAACTCCAGTCTGACTGGTTGGCGCTTGGTGATTGGCTGTTCCTCAATGTTAATGGGTTGCTCTTTAGCAGGGGAAGAGGCACGAGGCTCCTCTACAGCAACAGAGGTGTCTGAAACTGATGTAAAGTTGGCTTTCCTGCCCAAGACCGGCGAGTTGGCAACTTTACTGCCTCCTGTACAGAATGGGTCAATATTCTCAAAATTGTCTGGATCCCATTTGTAGGAGGCAATGGGAGGGATAGGAGACTCCTCGTCGTGGACAGTTGGAGCCTCAGGTACAGGATCAGGAAGCTCTGGTTGGAGTTGGCTCGATATTGAGAATGTAGTGATCTCCTCAGCCAAAGGTGGAGGACTCTCAACTCGAGTCTTTATCCTGTTCCTCCGCAGGGTACCAACAGGACTAGGACTAGGGCTGGGAGAAGAACTAGGCCTCTCTTGGGTTTGCAAGGGGCTTTCGGGATGGGGTTTCCCTCTCTTTTTTTCTTCTGGTGTGTTGCTAGAGGAGACTGTTTTGGGAGAGGAATGCTCTGGGTTTGAGTTCTGCCGAGAAAGAGGTTTCTTCTTGAGAGAACCTGGACGGGGCTTCTTCACTTTCCGAAGGGTCCCTGGAGCGCTTTCTGTTCCTGTGCTGAAGGACTCTGCTCGTGAGTGAATTAGTTTTTTGGAGGTTTCTCCTGAGGGTTTGTCTCCTGGGCTCTCTAACTCACCAGACTGTAGGCTTAGAGAGCGGGTAAGAGGCGCTCGGCTTGATGGTCCAGACCCAAAATTAGATTTTGGGAAGGAGTCACCAGCAATTAAGTAATCTAGGTTGTAGGTGCCACTAGCAGCTATTGGTTTGTCCTCATCAAAGACTATGGATTGAGAGCGACTGAGAGGTTGAAGCTGTTTCGGCTCTTGAGCTTCACTGGCAGAGATGTCAGCAGTGGAAGCTGTGAAGATAGAGAAGGACGTGTTACTATACATTTTGAAAACAAATCATGCTTTCAAGATCACAGAATAGTACTCACAGATCCATTGATATTATTTTATGTTAAACAACTGAAGAATTTAAGAAGCATAAAGTATGGAGTATTGTTTGTTAGTTTTGATTTATAGACCTTTCTTGACTCACCAGACTGTAGGCTTAGAGAGCGGGTAAGAGGCGCTCGGCTTGATGGTCCAGACCCAAAATTAGATTTTGGGAAGGAGTCACCAGCAATTAAGTAATCTAGGTTGTAGGTGCCACTAGCAGCTATTGGTTTGTCCTCATCAAAGACTATGGATTGAGAGCGACTGAGAGGTTGAAGCTGTTTCGGCTCTTGAGCTTCACTGGCAGAGATGTCAGCAGTGGAAGCTGTGAAGATAGAGAAGGACGTGTTACTATACATTTTGAAAACAAATCATGCTTTCAAGATCACAGAATAGTACTCACAGATGCATTGATATTATTTTATGTTAAACAACTGAAGAATTTAAGAAGCATAAAGTATGGAGTATTGTTTGTTAGTTTTGATTTATAGACCTTTCTTGAAAAAAAAACATTCAGTAGCAATACACTGTATATCCACTAGAGAGGGTACAAATGCAGTGTTTGATAACAAAGACTACAGTACTCTTGTCAGAGAATAATGGAAGTAAAAAGGCAGCCTTTTTTATTATTTTTTTTAAGAACAAAAAATAAAACAAACAGGAAAACTGATTAAAAATATATAAAGTCATGAATAGAAACAGACATATTGAATAAAGAATTTAATTAGACCTCAATCTCTTTGTTTCCAACAAAGCACAAATTAACATCTAAACATTGCATATAACATCTTCTAGCTTTGGTTCATATTTCTAGCTACAGATACTTAGATACTAGATAACTAGATATAGTTACTTAGTTTTCCATAACATTTCCTGAGTTTTAGAGTTAAGAATAGTTAGAATAGAATAGTACTATTTACTCTTGCTCTATGCTGTGTGCTATAGTATTTATTCACTTACTATTTATTGTCATTTAATATTGTCCATTTTTGACTTTATATTAAATATTACAGAATTTGTTCAAAACAAGACACAGTGTCACTATTTGTCAATGTCCTGCAATCTTAAGCATTTCAAAGTCCAGTAAACCCTCCTGAAGCTATTCAAATGATAAGTAAAATAACTTAACTCCACATAAGACAATCTGTGGTGTGAATTGCAATGGAATGAAGATCTAAACGTACCTGTGTGTTCTGGGGACAATCCCTCTGATTTGGTGCAGGGGGGCTCTGTTGAGGGCACTGGTGGGGAAGCAGACTTCACAGGGGTGGTGGACTCAGGGGTTTCGAATGCTCCGTCTGAGTCTGAGCTCCTAGAGAAGAGACAATGAGACAGAAGAAAGTCTGAGTATACTGAATTAAGAGTTGATTTAATAATCTAATTGAAGAATAAACATCATGTCAGTTTTGTTTCCATACAAAGAAGCTGCATCAAATCCACACACATCACAGCTCATATTTACTCTACACGATGGATCAAATAAATTCAGATACTCCTAAAGTATATTAAACAATCATTCATCGTGTGCCAGATCTTATAAACAAATGCCTGGATCAGCATTTGTCTAGTAGGCCCTGGTGGATTATTACAGATGGAAATTAAAGCACTGAACCTGCAGCTAGGAGGAGACCAATAACAGCAGCTCAAACACATATTATGCTCAGCTATGGAGTCCATTTTCTTTAATTCACTATATTCACTCATTATTTGATTTTAAACTACTGAGAATCACAGTGGAGGTGCTATTTTCACACATTTATGTCATTTCAGCCAAGACTGATGATGCCCATGTTGCTTTTTTATGTCAATACAACAGAATGTCGGTTTGTGAACCTTTTTTTGGTCTTGGCATCAGCATATACAGTAATACTCAAATCTGACATGTAATATGTGATAGCATAGGTGAAAACATTTGTACAAATACAGCAACAAAGCCGCAGTCTCAGACAGATGTGCAGACCCCCACCCAGTCTCACCGCATTAGTCCCTGTCCTCTCTCTGCTGTTACCCCATGCTCACCTCTGCCTGCCATGGATCATGTAATCATGTCTGGAGGTCCAGCTGAGGTGCTGGACGAGCCCTAGGGCTGGGTCTGCTCCATCCTCTCCAAATGTCCCTCCCAGCAGTGTGTCCCAGCCCCAGCGAGCCCACTGCAGCGGAGACAGAGCCTGCCACGCGCTCACTGCCATATCTGCCACCGATTACTAATACACTTTCCCTATTTCCAATGGCAATTCCTGAAATCTGAAGCTTTGATTCTATCTCTTTGTGTGTTAAATCCCCTTCTCCACATCCCTCCCTCTTTTTCAATATTGTACGCTCGCTCTCCCTTCGATCTATCGGTGAAGGTAGGCTTTATCTAAATGAAACCCCTTGCAGATACTCGTCACTCGCAGACTCACTGCTTGGCTCTCTCTCTCTCTCTCTCCCTTTAACTCATCCTCAGGCACGTTTCCCTCCCCCACGATGAGGAGAGAAGCAGACTTCCCACTCGGGCTGTTGTAATATAAAGAAAATCTGTGTTTTTCTATATATTTTTTCCATTACTCCTCCATCTTATCTATCTCTCTCTCTATCCAAGCTGAAATAGGCAACTTGCACAAAATCCTGGCCGAAGCCTCAAATTTCCTTCTCTTTCACATAGATCCACATATGCACAGGAAGTCTATTAGCACATATAAAAACCCATTTATTTAATGGAATGGGAAAATAAAACACTGATTTATTTCTGAAAAGTCTGCAGAGGAAATTCGGTGGAACGCTGTATCATCAAGTTTATGTTCCTCTCGGGGGTTTTAAAAAACTAAGAAGAGGTTTTCCACATCCTACTCTTTTATATTTGAAACTCTCTTCTAGATGGAGGAAAAAAAATTTATCTGTTAATTAAATCTTATTGAACATTTTAATAATGCTACTGAGACAGGAGTAATTGCAAATTCCAGCTGTAAATTTAAAATGCAGTGAATGAAAATAATCAGCATAAGAATCTACAGATGCTGCAGAACAAAATATCTAGTAAACAAGTAAGCATCTGCAATAAATGAGTTTTAACATAGCGTGAAAAGCTAAAGGAGACAGAAAGCGTGAGGGATTTTTAGGTGAATTTGTCTGCTTGGAGAAAGCCAGGCTTGTCTGGCACAGAACAGCACTGCTGGGTTCTAGCCACAGACACTGCTGTGAGCGTGACAACCCACAATACTGTTCAAACAAAGCTAACCTGAACCAAAAGGACAGCTATTAGTCTGTCAGAGAGGAGAATGATTAAAAACAGCTCTATTCATATCTGCATTATAATGGTGTTAACATATCACTAACACAATACTTCTGTAGATTATACTATGTGCATGTTCTATAATTCTCATTATAAGCATAATTAAACTTGAAATAAGATTAAGAAAAAAAAACCTTGGTTTAAAAAAAAAAAAGGTGTGATTTGCTCATTTTAATGCCAGAGGGTACAATATGTACTAGAGATTGAAGTAATGACAGAGGTTGACCAGTAGAGAGAGACAAAGACTGCTCCAACTGGAATACTAACATACTGCCAACTGGTGTATACTGCAGCAATTGTAAATAGTATGCTAGTATGCTATTCGAAACATTGCCCCAGTTTCCAATCCTAAATTAGAAGTTCCCAAAGTAAATTTAAATACATTTTTCATCCAAAGACAGAAGAGTATATACACATACCTCCAAATGACCAATGGCTATCAGTGTTTTATGAGGTGATCACTCCTTTTGGCAGTTTTACACCTAGAATGTATTGAACACTTTATTAATCTCTATATAAACTGATTAAACAGTTAAATCACAGGGCTATAACACAGGCATTAGAGACATAATCTCTGGCAGCTCAAGTTGAAGTAACTCTCAGTGTGGAATGAATTTTCCCAGTCTTGATAATCAGCGATTCAGTTCCACATAAGATGTGATGCTTACATCATGCTAAGAAAGAAAACTATATTTTATGTTAATTATTATTCATATTTCAAGTCAGACATCCTGCAGTACCACAAAACAGTGCAAAAAACTGCAGGACCAAGGTTCCTCAGCAAAGAACTGCTTCCTCTCTGTAGGAATACAGCAACGTACCAGCTTTCACCACCAGAACTATCAAATAATTCAGGCATACTCTCAATATTTTATGTGTGCTAGATCTCCTGCAGCACTGAGCTTATGCCATGGTCTCAGAGGCTTCATAGGAGTGATGAGAGACAGGGAGGAGAAGCTACTGGTCATATGCATCACCAAATGGGGAATCTCAAGCTGATTCACCACGTTGCTCATTTTGACACTAGGCTGTCAAAAGAAAGAATGGATGTCTAATGGACTCATGGTGACAACACACAGTGAGACATACCGTTGGAACAAAAGTACACATGATTGCTGGATGCCCCTATGACAGCCCTATTGTAACATGTAATACTGCATGAATAACAAAATGGTCCTTACAAAACAATAGCAACCTCCAGATAACCTGAAAGTCACAGAAGTGATGGTTAGCCAATAGTACATGACCATATACTGTATGTATATGCTAGTCAAACAGTTGAAAGAAAGTGCAGGTCACATGATTACAGCCTTCACAGAGTTGAATGCTTAGCAGTGCATGAAATCTCCTGCAGTGTACATGTTTCCCAGTAGATCTGAATGTCAGTGCTCATGACATGGCATCAGTATTCTAAAGTGGGTAAGTGCTAGTGACTAAAGTCAGAGCTGGAATATAAATATAGAGATTTTCATTAAATGACTGAGAAACATCACAGTGTAATGATGATACAGATATTTTTTCACATTTTTATTTTAGATATTTTGCCACTAAACTGATATGAGAAATGGAAAGGAAACAGGGAATTATGGGTAAAAGAGAGACAAAACAGCACATAAAAATGATTATTTAATATTGTATATTATAGTAAGTTTATTTATAATTTTATAATTTAATTATTTTATAATTTATTATTATTATTTAGAAATTAATAAGGATGCATTAAATTGATCAATAGTGACAGTAAATACTTTTATAATGTTACAAAAGATTACTGTTTGAAATAAATGAAGTTATTTAGAACTTTATATTAATCAAAGAATCCTGAAAAAAAAGTATATTAAGCAGCACAACTGTAGTTATCAATGATAATAATAAGAAATGTTATTTTAACACCAAATCAACATATTAGAATGATTTCTGAAGGATCATGTGACACCGAAGACTGGAGTAATGGCTGTTAAAAAGTCAGCTTTGCCAACATGGGAATAAAATACTTTTTAAAATATTTTTTTAAACGTTTTATATTGTAATAATATTTCACAATATTACAGTTTACCATATTACTGATCAAATAAGTGCAGTTTTGGTGAACATATTTTAATATATATTTTAAAAATTACATATATTAATAATGATGAGATAGAAGTGCATCAAGTGCATTACAGTGCTTATGCAGAGCTGAAGACAACTCTTAATGAATGCCAAAGGAAAAGAAAAAAAGTAAAAATAAAGGCTTGTATTGGGGGGGGGGGGGGGGGTAATTTTTAATTATGAATGCAAGATTTTATAAAAGGCAATCTAAAAGGTTCTTCCACCAGATTCCATTCTGTCATGAGCTACTGGTACAGTAGGTGAGCTAAATGACAAATCTAATAATATCAAGCTTTTTGAGTAGCAGTTCATACTCCCACGTAAACTCTGCAGGTTCTTTTATGTAAGAATTCTTAAAAGGGGGTTGCATAAGCCAAACTTTAGACGCTAAAAGCTATGTTAGTCATGGCTGAACGAGCAACACTGTATGGTGCTGCAATACTTTTCCTTAAAGCACAGACCTCAGAGTAGGTTCAAACTTTCCCATCATCCCCAGCTGTGTTGCCTAGAGCAACAAATTCCAGGATTTTTTGCACAAAGGTCCGTTTTAGCAGTAAAATAACCATTGTGGCCAACAGGATGAAGATTAAATGCAGTAAAATATATTATATGTTAGAGTGTGCTTTATAAACAAAGACCCACAATTTTAAAGGAACAGCTGCACAAAAATACAAAAATGTATCATCATTTACTCCCCCTTATGTTGTTTTAAACCTGTATGCTCATATTTCTTCAACTGAACACAAAATGAGCAGAATGCCTGAACTGCTCTATTCTATAAAATAAAAGTGTATGGGGACCAGGGTCTCACAAGCTCCATAAAAGACTAAACAACAACATAAACACATCATAAAACTAGTCCATTGTGCAAGCAATATGAAGGCTTTGTAAGCCAAATCAAATTTAAGTCATTATTTACTACATTTGGGCCTTGAAAAACTGTGGTTACT